GAAAAACCTGCTTCCAACTCCTGTAGGAAGTGCTCTAAGCTTTCTCTTTGTTCTTAAGTAAAATTTCTCTTTGTTATACTAAAGTCTGTGCAAAGTTACTTTTGCTTTCCATTCATGCTGCCTGTGCTGTTACAATTTTAATCTTGGTTTCTATCCATTTTCACTTTTGACTCCTCCATCCCTCAGTTGAACATTTTGGTTTCCCTAAGTAGTCAAATGAGGCCTGCTGCATTCAGGGAACTGTGACCCTTGACCTCCAACATGTATGTCGTAATTTTTTTAAATAAGGAAAATGGGGAAAGAGAAAAAAGACATATACACATCTGAGATCTGGTCTTACCCTAGAGTTGTCTCTTTTTCACCTGGTATCCCAAATAATCAGTAAGACTCAACATTCTCCAGCAATACATTTTCTAAAGCAAAATTTTCTGTCAACAGCAGTATCATATCACCTTCAAAGGACAGCTGAAGGAAGGCTTTAGCACCAAAGTCTGAACCCCCTCAAATTCTCCTCGAAATACACTGTCACATCTTCTGGGGCATCCAGTGGGTATCTATTTCATAGCATACAATAACACACACACACAAATTTTCAAAGGACAAAACTTAATTTTCACAAATAGTTAAGATGTATTTTTCAATATGCAACATAATTTCGGATCTGCTTCTTCTCACAAAGGAGATAGCTCTCAATAGGTTTTTTTTTTTTTTTTCAGAACAATGTCAGTTCCCATTTTTGTCCTCAGACTATGCCCTGAGATCTACCGTGGCATAAGAAATGGGTCCAGAGCCATCTACCTCTCCATGGACTCCCTTATGCTCACAAAGATGCAAAAAGTACATTAGTATTTAAGGTTTGTTTTCTTGTTTGTTTTTTCTTTACACTTTGTCCAGGTCCTCACATCTTTCCAGTGTGGAGAGTATTGGAATGCAGAAAGATGTGAGGGTTTCCTCTTCTCTCCAAGCAAACCCTTGAGGGTGGGAATGAGAGGAGAACTGTGGGAGGTAAAGAGGGGAGATGGTTTGCTCTTTTCATTCACAAAAGCCATAATAGATATCACAGATTGTTAGATCTGAAAGAGCCTTAAAGATAATCCTAGACCAAACAGTCCCATTTTACACTCAAGAATGATGCTTAAAAAATCAAATGGAGTGTTTTCTCTCAAGTCTACACAGGATGTTTGCAACACATATTTTAAAGATTCAAAGATTCCTCTCTCAAGAATGCGGTTCCTAAGTAAAATCTTAAAGACCAGAACAATAATATCTTCTTTTGATTTTTTTCATCCCTAAGTTATTATCTTGGCCCTAGCCTTTAAAAAAAGATTTTACATACAGTTAAGTATTATAATTTTTTATTTCAAAATTATCTTCAGTTTCCTGCAGCAGAAATCCATAAGGCACACACACTGAAGGACAAAGCTTACCAGTGGCTTATCAAGGACCGGCCAGGGCACAGTCCACCCCCAGGGTGGGCAGTAAGGGGGATGGGGTCTTGTCCAGAAAATTTAAGAACAATATAAAGCCCACTAAGCATTGGTCTGCTTTTTATTATCACCATTCTCTGCAATTCTAAACATCCTCAGTGATAAAACTGTCTTCCCCCCCAGAGTCATAAAAAACATGTTTCATTGACCTAAATTCTAAACAATTGCTGCATTTTCTGTTGAGTTCTAATATGTAAATAAGCTTCAAATTAGCACATTTTTATTACATTTCCTTTAATAAGCATTATATTCTACTAGAAATGAATTCAAAGTGCTCCCACTTATCTAGTTAGCCTTTGACACACACGGGCTCAGCATCACAAGTTTGTTTTGATAATAAGCCCTTTGATGCTGGTGGTACTTCATATTTCTGCATTTACAATTTTGATGTGTAATGAATAATGATATCACAGTGATTTTATGATGAAAAACAGAATTTAAGTTATTCTGGTTCTGCCATTCTGTCACCACTTGCTTTTATGTGTGTAGTATTTTTGTTTGTTAAGGACAAATTTTAGTTCATCTGTGAAATAGTTCATTGAATTTGAGTACTATCTCTAAAATAGAAATTTTTTTTTTAATTGTTAGTTGCTTTAAAACTAAATCAAGAAAAAAATATTACATAAGTGATATAAATTAGTAGTTACCTTAAATAAGTACCTTTTGTTGAAGTAGTGGTTTCATTAAAATTTACTCATTAGTTACTAGGAAGTTTTTATATAAAATATTATTAGATTATAACCAACAGATAAAGTTCAAACTATTAGTAGATATTAACCAGAAGTGATGTTCTTATATTGCCTGAAGATATGGAAAGGAAAATGTTATAACGACTCAGTCATTTACCTCAAGCTCTGTTGCTCACTCTAAAGCAGTGGATCAGATAAAGCCAATATTTGTGACCACTCAGCCATTTTCTTGAAGATTTATTTGCCAAGAAGAAAGACTTCAGAAATCCTTGCCAAATACAAATGAAATCTATGATGACTTTTCTGGTCATCTTTTAATAAGAGATATGTGACTGTTTGAAAGCCAGTAGAATTAATCTCACGGAATCTAAGACATCGAAATTATTGCAATTTCTGCAATCTATTGTGAAATGAGATTTTTATAAATCTCATCCTTATGGTTAAGACTATATTATTGGAAATTACCTGTATCTGGTACATCATGTGAAATTAAAATCAGTCAAAAATATTCTTTCATCAACTATAAATGGAGATAGATTGAAAAATATGTTGAAAATACCTGTTAAACGTGTGTTTGCAAAGAAGATCAGTTTTCAGAAAATCACTTACACATTTGGTGACTCATGCAATAAGTCCATGAGGAACCCAGAACTGGAGAGAAGTAAAATGGTGGTGGCAGTGGAGGCTAAGAGGGATTCTTCAAGACTTTATAGAAAACAACATTTTAAAGCCGCTTAAATAAGGAAGAATTGAAAGGAGGTAGGATTTCTGTAAGGGTAAGGAATGGAGCCAGTAAAATACTGTTAATTTGTTAATATTCTTGTGCCTCTATTTTTACCATGGTTTGATATGTTTTGAGGAAATGTTGATAGTTAGAACGTTTCTTTCTCTTGCCACAAAAAGAAGACCTAGAAAGAAGGTCCTAGAAAGTAGAAGGCTTTTCCCCATCTTCTCCACTACCTGCTGTCATGAGGACTAACTGGGGAGAGTGTACACCCAACTGCTGCTGAATCCAATCCTTTTTTACAGGCATAGAGCCTGCAAAATGCCACTGGTCTTCCTTCTTTCCTAAAAGACCAGAATTCCTGAAGTCGTACTCCAGACTCTCACGTTATATCCATCATGTTTTGGGTTTTTTGTTTTTGGTTTTGTTTTTCTGGTGGGGACTTTTCCTTACATTCTCTGAAGGCTGAATAATTTGAGTCTTTTGAATAATCTTGACAATAGTTTAACAGGAGAAAAGTCATACAAACTTATTAGACACACTAGTGCATGGGGGTCTCGCAAACTATGAGACTTAAAGAAAGACCAGATGGTTGAAGCTTAAATAATATTTTGAGCAACAGAAATAAAGTTTTCAGTTTTGGGGGGAAGCAGTGACCCAAGTGATAGGAAGGTAAGAGAAAGAACTGCACTGTGAACAGAAGTTGTCTAAGATGTAGCTGTCAGTCCTTTGGGTAGCATCCCTAAGAATAGGTGAAAACCATCCGGGTGTGCTGTCCTGGGGCTGGAGACTTTTAGTCTTTTCTCTGTCTATAGGAGTTAGTCTTCTTTGGTTAATGTAGATTCCTGGGTGAGGGTTCAAGATAATCACATTCCTTTGGGAGAAGCTTCCCTTAGTTAGGTAAGAGAAACTTCAGAGAAAGCCCCTGCCTGTGATCTAAGAAACATAGAGGAGAGACGATCAGAGAGATCTTGGTTCCGAGCTTGCTTCTTTAGTGGAAAGCCCTCAGCATGCCCAAGCATCACACTTTGGGGGTATTGTTTTCTAAGCCTCAGCACTGGTGTCTTTGCAAACACTTTAGAGAGTGGAACAGCTGTAAAATCCATTTACTTTGTGGCCCAGTCTTAGCGAGGAAATACTAGTCCAGTCTCCAAAAACTGGTTGAACATTAGTTAACATATTTTTAGGCACATGACTCAGGAGCTGAGATTATATTAATACCACTCAGTAAATGTCTTAAAATTTTCTTTTCATAACTCTCTCCATTTCTCATATATGTTCAAGCTGCTCCCCAAATCTTTCATTTTCTCATTCTCCAAACTCCCCTAATTTCTTTGCAAATCCAGAGCACAACGACTCTGGTCTCTTCTTCCCCTCCTTTGTCATCTTCCAGGGCTATTCACTTCCCCGTTGAGCAGTTACAGTGCTCTCCTTACTCAGACCCACGGATCTGCACACGATCCAGGGAAACATGTTCAGCACAAAAGGAATTCTGTCTTATAGACAGAAGGGGAGAGGCAATGTGATTTCCTATATGTTAACACCTTGTCTACCTAAGAGCTTCCCCAGCAATAAACCAGTCTAGGACCAAGTAGTTGATTCAGATTCTGGTGTGTGACTGAGGAGAGAACTTTCTCGTATTTGAGGGCAAAAGAAGCCAAATCTTATGGTGATTTATATGTAGAAGTTGAAGACTACTCAGCGAGAAAACTGGTATTTTTCCATTTTTGGTATGCTGTAACTTGTTCTCATTAATACTTTTGGGAAAATGGCAGGGAGAGAATGATGAAAAAAAACACTAGAGAAGAGAGGGCCAGTTTTCTTATTCAGGCTATGTGTCATCCTCAGAGATGCTGCGGGCGTGGTCTGGTGAAAGACCACAAGCTTTGGAGCTTGATATTCATACTTAAGCTTAGTTACTTTCCAGCTGAGCGTATGTAATTTATAAGGTGATGGTTACATCAGAGCCAGCAAGGAAGCATTGTCTTCTGCAAATGGAGATATGTAAGAGCATTTTCTAAGCTTATTGTGAGAACTAATGAAATTATTTTTGTAAAATGCTTAGCATAATGGTAAATGTTGTTAAAAATAGCTTTCTTAGGGGTGTACTCAGAGCAGGGGCCCTGAAGAACGGCTCCTCTGTTTACAGCACACCCAACAGGAATCTGGGGTCACTGTGATAAGGGGCCCAAAACTTGTGGTCTCCCTATGAACAAATTCCCTACATGTGAAGAAGAAGAAAAAAATTATAAAATTTACATGGTGGGTGTATGGAGGATCACTATATAATTCTTTCAACTATACTCTATGTTTGAAAAATTGCCTAAGACAATGTTGGAAAATTAAGAAAAAACAATAGCCTTTTGCCAAACTGGAGTTGGAGGGCTTCTGTCTAAACTTCCTCTGTTTCTAATGTTGTAAAGTTAGTACTGTCTTATGCTGGTTTTACTTAAAATATATATCTAGAATAAAAGCAATACTCAACAAATATCAGTGATGCACAAGTAAATAATTAACACGATTTTTTTTTCTTTTCTTTTTTTTTTTTTTTTTGAGAATCAGTGTCTGTCTGCGTTACCCCTCCTGGACTCAAACTCCTGGGCTCAAGGAATCTTCTGGCCTCAGCCTCCCAAGTAGCTGGGACTACAGGTGTGCACCAGTGCACCTGGCTGAACAAAACGTTTTATAGCTCAGAGACTGATGTCAGTAACCAAATAACCAAGAATTTGACCACTCTCTTCTAGGTAATTACAAATGACCTCTGCTTTACCTGTAATTTATACATCTTCACCAGCCCTTCTCCTAGTGTATTCTTCATGACCACCAAGGAGAGCTAGAGGACCTTAGCAAGGAGGCTCAGAATAGTACTGCCTTGATTTTGGCAACATGCATATTGTTTCTTCAGCTAACTCAGCATGCTTGAGATCATTTTAACAGCATAGTGTTATCATGTGGTTTCAGTAGAAAAAGTCCCTATGTAAAAATAGCACCTTCTTCCTCAGCATGTCTGCTCCCTTTAATGAAAATAAGGCTTTAGCTTAGGCTGAGCCAATGCAGCTATCAAGGCGTGAGCTAAAAATCTCATCTGCTTCGAACACTGTTAGCCGAATTCACTAACAATGGTACTAATAGTCATTGAAGGTAAGAAATACAGCTACAGGCATGAACAATACAGGATAATTCATCTCCAATACACAGTACTTAAACAGCAGTTTCCTAGAATGAGCCCCTAGATAATACGGTCAATGAGAAAAAAATCACAATTGTTCTACAAGAATATTTACGGCAATACAAACAAACTGAGAAGGAGAAAAAAAAGAATCCATAGCATTCATGAATTCTTATCCAATTCAATGAAAAACAAAAAGAGATTAACTAATATAATTCAAGCCATATGGCAACCTAGTAGGTTTCTTCTTGGAGAATGGTGTTTCATTCATTCTTAACAGCCTGCATTCTACAACGTATCACCCCATGTCCCATTTGGGGACTGGGAAAATTCTATGTGCATTATTGATATGAAAATAAAATGGAGCAAAGGTATAATTTTACTTATATTTTCAAGGAAAGACATAGATACATTTTTTTTCAGATTAATATGAGGGTACAAATAATTAAGTTACAATATTTGCATTTGTTAGTAAAATCCCTGTTGTAGTTGTGTACCACACCCGGGAGATATGCCATACACCTTTACATTGTACCCATTAGGTGGGCACACACTATTCTGCCTCCCTCCTCCCCCCCTCCCCAACTTGAATTGAGTTCCTCTCTTGTGTGGGTGTGTACTGGTTTTTCTACTGGCTTCATATTAGTATTGAGTACATTGGATACTTACTTTTCCATTTTTGTGATAATTTACTAAGAAAAATATGTTTCAATTCCATCCAAGTTAATACAAATGATTAACTTTTCTATCTTTTTTATGGCTGAATAGTGTCCCATGATACATATAGCACAGTTTGTTAATTCATTTCTGGATTGGGCAGCGCCTGTGGCTTAAAAGGGTAGGGTGCTGGTCCCTTATGCCAGAGGTGGTGGGTTCAAACCCAGCCCCAGCCAAAAACGAAAAAAAAAAAAATTCGTTTCTGGATTGATGAACAGTGTGACTGTAAATTGAGCTGTAATAAACTAACTAGTGCATATGTCCTTATGATAAAATGATTTGTTTTCTTCTAGGTAGATGCCTAGTAGTGGGATTGGAGGATCAAATGGGAGGTCTAATTTGAGTTCTTTTAGGATTCTCCATACTTCTTTTCAAAGAGGTTGTATTAGTTTGCAGTCCCACCAGCAGTGTAAAAGTGTTCCCTTCTCTCCACATCCATGCCAGCACCTGCAGTTTTGGGAGATATAGATACATTTTTAAAAATTATCCAGAAAACATAGTTTCAAACCTATGCTTAGGCCATCAGCATTCCCTCATATTATCTTCAGAATCGGACCCACATCCAGCCTAATGACTTATTAATTATGCTTATCCGAGTTCCCTCAGAGGAGTGTCACGAGAGTAGGAGGTGTAGCTACAAACATGTATAGTCCTGCACCCGGTCTTTTAACAAAGTCCAATCAAAAAATATGGCACAGGACAACAAACACATGAAAAAATGTTCATCGTCCCTAATCATCACAGAAATGTAAATCAAAGCCACCTTGAGATATCACCTAAGTCCAGTGAGAATAGCTCCTATCACAAAGTCCCAAAACTCAGATGCTGGTGTGGGTGTGGAGAAAAGGGAACACTTATACACCTTTGGTGGGATTGCAAAGCAATACAGCCTCTCTGGAAAGAAGTATGGCAAATCCTCAAAGATTGGTCCCCAAATCCCATCACTAGGTATCTACCCAAAAGGAAAAAAAATCATTTTACCATAAGGACATTTGCACTAGAATGTTTATTGCAGCTCTAATTCACAATTACCAAGATGTGGAAACAATCCAAGTGTCTATCAACTCACAAATGGATAAACTATGGTATATGTATACCATGCCATAAAGAAAAATGGAGACTCTGTATCTTTTGTATTTACCTAGAAGGATTTGGAAAACATCCTCCTAAGTAAATTGTCACAAGAATGGAAAAGCAAGTATCCAGTGTACTCGTTACTAATATGAAACCAGTACACGTTCACATGAGAGAAAAACACAATTAAATTCAAGGTGGGGGATTGGGGGAGGGGGAGAAGGGGGAGCGGGAGAGGCCAGGTTTGGTGAGCTTTCACCTAATGGGTACAATGTAAGAGTGTGTGGCACACCTCCTGGGTGAAGGGCTCAACTACAACTTGGACTTTACCTAACAAACGCAAACAATGTAACCTAATTGTTTATACCCTTATATTAAACTGAAATTTTAAAAAAAAAAGAAATATGGCACAGGAAATAACTGGAGGTATGTTTGTCTCATGACCACGAAAAAATTACAATCTTATTTTGTGACCTATTCCCCCCAGAAACTAGACCTTTCTTAAAGGAAGAATGTTTCTTTTTTGCAAATCCTAAGCTATCTTTAGTAGAAACTCTTTGAAAGTCATTTGAGGCTGTCAGATGCCTCTTATTTATTACAACAGAGACATCTACAGCTTAATTTCCTTTGGTATTATTGCACCTGTCACTGGGCTATCAGTGGCTATCTGCAATTCTACTCTTGCAGAACCATCTTGATGTCTGATAGGCCCCTTATCTACTATTGGAAAGTAATTCTAGAAGACATTCACCTCTGTCAGTTAGAAGGGGCCACACTAACTTGCGCACAGTAGGCACTCAACAAATATTAACAAGCCCCCTGCTGCCTCCCTCCAACCCACAGTCCTTTATATCTGAAGGCAAATATAGAGTGAAATGACCTGTCCTAGAGGCTGCAAGAGCCTTAGACAGTTACCAGCACCATCTTTTTTGTTTCCAGCCAAAATAGATTTTAGAGGAACTATAGATAAAACTCTGGGGTATATTGGGTCATTTGAAAAGTTGAGCCAAAGTTTGAGAAGAAATTGAGGAATTGGTTTTATAGAGTTTGAAATCACTTACCTGGAAGTTTGTGAGCAAGTCATGGAAGTTAGTTTATGGAGATAATGTAAGAAAGAAAAGGTGGGTGAGGACAGAACTCCACATTTAATTAACCATGTGAGTGGGAATAGAGCTCTGAAAAGTAAATAGAAAAGCATGAATGAACTAGGAAGAAATTTGTATTTCCTCTCTCTTTCTTTTACAATAGGCTTTTCTTTTTAATACCCATTATGCAATGAATTCATAGGGAAAAATTTCTAGCAGCTTAGGGAGGTGGCTTTCCATTGACTGTGACAAAGCTTGGTATGCCTATTATGCCAGGAATTCACAAGGTATAGGTTCCAGCACTGTGTGCTCCTGTTCCACTGGTTTTCTTGGTTCTCCTGTGTGCCACGCTTTACACCTATTCTCCCATAGATTCATGGGGAATAGGTTTTAGCACTTTATGCTTCTGCTCAACTGGTTCTCTTGGTTCTCCTGTGTTCCATGCTGTATACCAATTATACCATGAATTCATGGGGTATGAATTCCAGGAGCTCAGGCTCCTTTCCACTGGTTCTCACAAAGTGTGCTTCTCTGGGTGGAGCAGGCTAGTGGTTCAGTTGAACCTAAGTACCTCTTTGGCTTCCTTCTTTTTCTGACCATTTTCTTATTTATTTATTTATACAGAGTCTCACTTTGTTGCCCCCGATAGAGTACTGTGGTGTCACAGCTCACAGCAACCTCAAACTCTTGGGATCAAGTGATTCTTTTGCCTCCGCCTACCATGTAGCTGGGACTACAGGTGTCCACCACAACAGCTGGCTAGTTTTTAAAAGGTGGAGTCTCGCTCTGGCTCAGCCTGGTCTTGAACTCCTGAGCTCAAGCAATCCAGAGTTCTAGGATTATAGGTGTGACCATGCCTGACCTTCTGACCATTTTCCATCATGCATTTTATAAGGCTATCTCAGCTCTTAGAGCATTTAATATGCTCAGTACTAACATTAATCCTCTTGACAAAAATCTTACCCTTAACTTGTTTGTTTACAACAATGCCAACAGTGAACTGTGGGTAACATTGTAGACTCAGTTTTACCCTGGTGACATTTGTGGGGCATGCCTTTTGAACAGCATCCATTCCCTTGATGTCTACAATATTGTCTACAATAGATGTCTACAATCTGTCTTGTAGATTCACTATGTGGCCAAAGGAACAACTGCATGTTTTCTAAAAGGCCCAGAGAACATCT